ATCCCGAAATTGTATCTAATATTAACAGAATACTGTGGTTGAAAGAGTCCTTTGTCAAAAACAAGTAGGTTACTGCACTCCTACGCTATTGAAGTAACATGTGATCAATTTGTTCTCCAGCCTTTGAAGTTAAAATTGTTTTTTGAGTGGCACTGACAATGAGACTACAAATTCTTTCATTCTAGCCTAAGGAGGCGAGAAAGTAAAAAACTGTGTGCTTTCTTTCTGTGTTCTTCGACTGTTGTGCAGCATTATGACACTCTTATCCAGCTCGCCCTGTAGTGACTGTGCAATTAGGGTTCAATAGTTTCCCCCAGGCTACACCGACAGACCGTCAGGACTCTTCAGGAAATACGAAAAAACAGCTCTATTTTTAGCCTAATCACAACACATTTCTTGGCAATATCCAGTGACTTTTGAAGAAACTTCGTTTTTCATAAACCCAAGAGATCTGAGGATTTTCTCAAGGCATACAGAAACCATGTAATCCCTCAACTGGAGTGAAGACAGCAAATATATTACAGTTTAAAGCCACAGTGAGACTCTATGCTGCTGATGGAGATGCATAGTATGTGCGTAGGTCTAACGCTGAAACTTTCAGCTCCTATCTCCAGGCCCCTCTGACACCTAGCGATGGGAGTAGTGGAAGTACACTTTGGCATAAAATCCTATGCATCCTGCTATTTAAATGTGGTTTTAAATGAGTCCTGGGACATTTACTTAAAGTCATTTATTGCCTGTGTGTCCTCCTAACTGGATCCAGCTAGTTAATATTGCACTTCCAGAAAGTGGGGGAGGCTCACAAGAGGCAAAAAAAGAAAAGGAAATGAAATGAATGCTCAGAAGCAGTGCAGCAGAGGAATTTCCCATAGTGCTTCTTTTTCTTAGAGCCTTGCTGTCTGAAAAGCTTAAATCTTCCAAACGGCATGCCTCCAGTCTGTTAAAAATGTGGGGCCTCTGGGTGTCCTGGTGGCACTGTGGTTGTATTCTCCAGCGCTGACACAGCGCTGTGGAGACAGATCTGGCTAGGAGGCTACTGGGGTTAACAAACAGTCCACGTAACTGTAACATCCTGGTTCAGTTGCTTAATTGCATGTCGTAGCTCTGCTCTGACATCCCCAATGAGAATACCAGGGTTGCTTTTTCACACCTTGGAGAGTTCTTTCCAGAAACATAGAGGTCACTGTATAGCTAGTCATGATCAGCAGATCAGACGGATGTATAAAGTATTGGATGATGAATCTCAGACGTCTTTGTTCCAGTATGAATGGGCCGCAGTTTAACATTCTGCTCGTACGTGAGAGACGGAGAGGCACTGAAGATACACTGTACATACTATTTCAGTCTCATGCCAAACCATACGCACAGCAATGCACACATACACACACACACAGTCACTACACAGGAAGGTCCATAATTAGGTGTGGCAAAACATGACAGCTATTTACTGAAGAGATTAAGCTGAAACTACTCGGATAACCACAGAAACACACACAAATACGCATCCAGAGACCTGCTTTCCTGCTGAGTGTTTCCTTCCTACTGTCCCCTCAACAAATTTGTCATTTTGACTCACTCGGCACCCCTCCTGCTTTCTTAACGTTTCTCTTACCTTGCACGGAGAGGTCGATAAGCCCCAGAAAGTGCATCAGTTTGAGGGAGCTGCAGACCACCAGGAGGATGCCCACAGTCTGCAGCCCCTCCACCTCCCACTTCTCGTGAAAGAACAGATGCATCCTTTCCCCCCTTCTCCTCTCTCTCCGCTCCTGTCAACAAAAATCTTTCTCTTGCCTCGGGGCGACCACGTTCCCTCCCCCCCCACCCCTCAGCCTCCAGCCAGGGATGCACTCCTTTCGTCTCCTCAGTCCCTCCTTTCAGTCTCCCTCTATATGCCGGTGTTCGGCCATCCTAACTCCACACAGCTCCCCACCCGCTTTCTTCACTGAAGGTAGATTGTTATTCTCCTCGTTTCTTCTTTGAGAGCGGTAAGAGCCAGGCAGCAGGAATGTCGACTTGCTACTCCACCCCCGCCTCCTCTGAGGCTGTCAAAGGTTGTTTAAGTTCCAGGTGAAGTTCGGACAATTCACTGTGTGTGTCCTGGCAGGTTGATGGCAATTGTTTTCTGACTCTCTCTGGTTTTCCAGCTCCTGAATCTCAAACTCTCTCCACTCTCTGCCTGTCCTCCCTCTCTTCCTCGCCTTACCTCCGTCACTCTCGTACTGCTGTGTCCCTCCCCATGCTTAATTGGGTCAGTGATGGGACTGAGTAAAGGGAGGAGAGGGGTGGGGGGGGTAAGAAATGGAAACAGGGGAGAGGATGGAGGAGTAGTACTAGTAGGTTAAGAGAGGAGGGGGGTGTGACATACAAAAGACTGATGAGGGGAATGAATTTGAAGATGAGATAGGGAGAGCGACTGGGAAAGGAAGGGGAAGACGGAATGGCCAAAGATGGAAATAACACCAATTAGGGGAATAGCAAGGACAAATATCTGAAAACAAATAACAAGTCAGAAGGAGGTAGCAGGGGAGAAATGAAGGACAAATTATGAAGAAGAAAAAGCAGAGAAAAGACAAACAGAAGAGTGGAGGAAATCTGAGATGACAGAGGAGCGAAGCGTCTGACCCGATAGATACTGTGGACAAACTCGCAGATGTGGCAGTCTCCCTTGAGTGTCAAGTCAACACACGTGCCGACACAAACACACTGCCTGGAGGTGAAATCTGGCTATAACATGTATAGCATATGCAATCCAGTGCAGCGAGGAGCATTTCAGTTGGGATGGGGATATACTGCTGTCACATCTGGCACACTGACATCCTAGCACAGACAGACACACTCTCTAAAGAACTCGAGCTAAAAATTCAAATGAATAAAAAGGAATACGGAAAGAATAGAATCGTGACGACGCCTTTTGGTTGGCATGTGGATTATTTTGGACTTGGATTTGGCATACCACTGGGGGATGTATATCTGATTTAGGCCTTTTAATCACGCAACACAGTGCAAAAATAACCCCGTAAGTCCTCTGAAACATGAAGTTGAGCTAAG